CCCACCCCCGGGTCCATAAGGCAATATCTTAAGAAAGAATTATGCTTGTTTATTTTTATAAACAACGGGGAATTCGAAAAGATCTCTGATGGACTGCGGAGTTGTTTTTGCCAGTTTGTTTCTACGGTGTTCTCTTAGACAACATACGTTCACAAAACTTCCCCAACATCAAAACATACGCAATGACTAAATCGACAAGAAATTTTGTGATCCTTTATCAATCTCGAAATCGAAGACATGTACTGTATTTCTTGCTAGAAAACTTCCCTATTAGCGAAAATGGGGTGGGGGAGGGGAGGGGAATTAATATACACACTATTTTAACATCCCTAACTCAAGAAAAAAGGCGGATGAAGAAGTAACCTTCAAGCAAACGTGTCTGATATGATTACTACAACAATAGAATTTAAATTATGTCCAAGAATGTTTTGATCAAAGTCCTTTAACAAGGATAAAACATTAGATTTCAAACAGCCTTTTTAACAGACTGTGAAAATCTTTTTCAAAGAATCTATGTAATAAGCACAACAGTTAGTTTTGATTTCTGTGAAAACGTCAAAATTTCAACCAGGCAAGAAACCAAACAAAAATTGCTTATGCGCAACCAGCCTTCAACTCGTAGACAGGAAAACGAAAGTGGAACCAGAGTGTTACGTATTGCCACCCAAACAAATAATAATCCAATGACATTGCATCTTTTTAATGATGTCGATAACCGCAAACGTCACATTTGTCCGTTGATCCGTTGAGTGAAAGCTGAGCAATTTAGTCCGAGGTAGGTAAAGAAATTATAAAAAGCAAAGCACATCAGCTCCCCCCCCCGTCCTTATAGAAATATTTCAAGAAATTCTCGAATCGGCAGGAATGGGTTCTGAGGAGAAGGGAAGGGGGGTTTACTTGCACACCTTTCCACATTACCTCTCTGAATACAAAGCAGACTAACTGGAGTCGTGTCTGGTGTGATATTGCAAGTAATTGGAGTAAGCTCTTGAACAAAGATCAACTATATTGGCATGTCTTCTTCTACAATGTTCTGCTCAAATTTTATTTTTGAACCGCATTGAAACAATTCTTGGGGCAAACAAGGAGAAAGTTACAAATTGGGTGTCTTTCACCGAAGGAAAAGCTTTCGAACGAACAATTCAGTATAAAGTTCACAGTCTTCAGCAATAACACAACTTATAATTCTTCTTCAATATACACCGCCAGCTAACAGCGTATAAGGTTACAACATTAGGGGAAAATGTTGATGGAAAACGATGAATTCGAAAAGATCTCTGATCGACTGCGGAGTTGTTTTTGTCAGTTTGTTTCTACAGTGTTCTCTTAGACAACATACATTCGCAAAACTTCCCCAACATCAGAACATACGCAATGACTAAATCGACAAGAAAGTTCATGATCCTTTATCAATCTCTAAATCGAAGACTAGAGTTGTATTTCTTGCTTGCTGTTATCCAAAAACAGGTGGATGTTTCGTTTCAGTTTCAAAATTAGCAAGTCCTGACCCGCTACAGAAACAACTAAATTACACAATAACACAATGTACTTGCCGATGAGGCTAATTTCAGCGCCTTGAGGAAAAAGACTGGTAAATACTACTCCTTGTCGTTTGCTTGCAATCCAAACGTCCCGATCTGTACATCGGAGGTGAAAACAAAGCGCATGAAACGATAGTACTTTATCTAATATTGTATTAGACGACGATGAATAACCAGTCTTTTCAAACGAGATAAGATTTCTAATTCAGCAAATCAAGAATCGTAGTAATTCTGTCAAGTTAAGAGAGACCATAGTTCTCAATTTGAATAAAGGACAAATTCCCAAATTGTTGTATGCAAAACGAAATCGATTTCACATTTGGTAAATGATTAAAATGAAGCGAGGTTGAACTCGTTCACAGGGCCGTTAACGTTTGCAGTTTGAGCGTACGAGCGAGAATTTGGGATAACACCCTTAATGGATCTTACACTGAGCTTTGGTCTTGTTGTAATCAAACACTAGTCGAAATTTGCTCCTCAAATCTAGATTACAAGTGATCTATACTTACTTCTTTAAGGATTTCAGGAACTATCGAGAGAACACGTCTTCGTTTTCAGCCAGCAAAATGACAAAGTACCGCTCGGAAGCAACCTCGCTTTAAAGTGAAACTGATTTGCATAGCGCAGCATATCTGATGATATTGTAATGCCTCTACAACGTCAGCAGCAGACAGATTTGCGCCTTGATCTCATCAGAAATTCAAACAGAAGATGACTAAATTGTAGGTTAAGGTAGGGCTAGGAGGAGGAGGGTCATTAGGAAAATTAAACGGTTTTGGGCTTAAATTCTGAAAAACCAGCGGTACAGAAAGAGTCATTTTTATAGCCTGGGGGGAAAGGGGGGCTGAAAGAAAATTTTTTCTTTTGGGGGAGAGGGGAGTTCGTATGGGTTTCAGAGGAAACAGAGGGGGAATCAGTTGTCTCTCACAAAGTTAAAAGAAGGACTATAGAAGATTGACTGCATATTGGGTGGGGAGGGGGGGAATCAATAGAATACCACGGAGCCTTATTGGGGGATCATGTAGATGTTATAGTTACAAAACCAAAATACTCAGCTCCACACCACCCTCCCTTTCAGGGAATAACTAATGACCAGGTCCCAGAGAGTCCCCTTTTTCGAAGTGTGCGGCAAACTCGTTGGTGAAGACACAGGTGTCCCAAGCTCACGTCTCGGGAAAAAGATGAAAGCGTCACGCGTTGTGTGACTCAGTGATAAGTTACGAGAGGAACCGTTATGGGGGATGGAATATGGTCGATTTACAACCACAAATATTTCGAAATCAAACATTTTACACGTAAAAATTAATAAAACTTATTCTCATCTTGTGTGTCCGTTGTTGTTTTTGGCGATTTCTGCCATTTTAGCTTGCTTTCCCTATCACTGTTATTCCTGAACAGAAAGGGTTTCCTCTCGTAACTCAGTACTGCGTCACAGAATGCGTGACGCTTACATGAATAAATCGTTCGCTCTTTTCTCCAGACGTGAGTTTGGGATACCTGTGGTGAACGTAAAAGACTCTTTGGTATAATATAATTTATAATATAATATATATTTAGTATAATGGTGATCTGTATGAAAAAAACATAAAGTTGAAAATTCACCATGTTAAGTGTTTATTGAATGTTCTGGAGCCTTGATTCAAGGCTGGTAACCTTCACAAATTTGAAAAATTTATTTCTGTCATCAAATATTTGTTGATTAAATTTCAAGTCATTGCTAGATTTTTGCCACCATTTCCAGCCAATTTACAATGGTAATAGAACTGAGTGGAGTCTAATTAGGTTTGTTGTTATCATACACGTGATTAACAAAATTTGACGACCACGAAGCAGGAGACCAATTTGTCAATCCCAGGTATGATTACAGAAAGAATTGGACAACAAGAAGTCTTGTTACCAATTAATATTAAATGTTACAATTTCTGAAAACAACAAATACATATAGGTCAAATGTCTCTGGAAGAGACAAAGTCTAAAGTAAAAAATATGTCTCCATCTTGGAAATTCTTCATTTTTTTTAAAGACAAGTGGTTGTTGCTGTCATTATTGTGATTAACTCTGTGATTGGTGGATTTGGCTGAGTGGACTTCATATGACTGGTTGCTTCAACAGTCCGATCACAGGTGTCTGATTACAGCCAACTGTCCAATTATATTGTCCAATTACAGCTGTACAGAATGATGAGTGAAAAATGAAGCAGCTAATGCACCAATCACATTTGGAAAAATTGTAATGGTTATGATTATTGCCTGAATAACCTGTTCCAGGCATTCAGTTGGTAAAACAAAGTGTGATAGTAAACAGTGCTATAGTAGCAGAGAAGTGAAAAAGTGAGAGAGGCTTGGGTTGAATCACTCAATAAATCCAACCCAACCCAAGCCTCTCTTGCTGTTTCACTTTTCTGCTCCAGTCTTTGCTCTGTTTTACTAACTGAACACCTGGAGTGAGCTAGTGCTTTTTTGCAGCTTCTGAAATTGAATTGTATACTTCCTCTGTATCATCTTTGGCTTTTTGAAGCTGAAAATAAAAAAGAATGCATGAAACAATTTGGGATTCTTCAATTCTGGTGTTAACAATAATTATTCAGAAGCTCGACTTGAGCTTCGAGTCTATTCCTGAGTGCAGCCTTATGTGAATCACATGAAAGAACATACTCAATCACATGTAACAAGATCAGAGAGAGGTACCAAGTTAACTGGTAACTCTTAATACCAGTTCTCATGATGGTTACAGAGAGCAGAGCTAGCACGTAAGATGTGGTAAAACAGTGGTTATTCACATGGGAAAAAAATCAGCCAAGCTATATGTCTGGTCCATCATTGCTTGCATTGGAAGTTTGCCACCACAGGTTAATAATGGAAAGATATGAAATAAATATCAAGTAATTATTACAAAATCATATCATTTAGCAATTTCAGACAAAGAACAACAACCCTTTCAATTCCTTGGTACTATTATCATCACCAGCAGATGCTGACATGATGCCAGAACTAAAATCATTCACTGCTAATGCAACACCTGAAATTCACAAAGAAATTCAAAATTACCAAACTTACATATGTATTAATATGCCATCATGGTGAGTTTGTCATAATCATACGGTATCATTTATTATCAAAATCAATCATATATTTTGTAACATCCTGATACATTAAAATACTGTATGGTTGAATAATAATTCAGGTATGTCTTTGCCACCCTCATGTTGTTTTTACATAGATGTTCTTTAGATATCAATGCTTTTGGCCAAACTTTCTGTCAAAATTTACTAGACTGGACAAATTCACCAAAATCATGAGATTTGAAGTTGTAATTCACTATTTCAGCCTAAACAACCTTAATGCAGATTAGACATTCCAGCAAATAAAACATTGCTACATATGTTGCTGACTGTGTACCATTTTGGTGAAGTTCTACAAAAAATCATAAGTAGAAAAACATTTATTTATTGAAGGAAAAAATCTCAAAATTGTCAAATCTTACTTAGAAGCTAAAACCAAATCTGACTTTCCTCTAAAACCTTGTTCTCATCATAGGTGCTGTTTGGCGCAAAACCAATTTACAGAATCACAACTTAATTGTTTATGTTATTATTGACTATTAGACATTCTGGCTTTTCAACCACAGTTTCCAGCAGAGTTGGCATTTTGGAATTCCAGGTCTTTTTTCCCCTGATAAAAGACCCCTAAAGCGAACCGACAAGATGCATGTAAATGTAATCTATCCTTCACCCACAAGTAGCTCAGGGTGCAGAATCCTAGCCCAGACTTCCGTGGTGAGAGAGAAGCATTTACACCATGAACACTTAAACTCCCATGCATGACCAAAACATTATTTCTCCTCACCACATCAATGCGACACCAAGCAGGCAAATAATGCTCTGATTATTAGTTGATCCAAAACCAAATTCTCCCAACGAACATCATATGAATTGTATGGCAGAAAGTGAAGGGAATTACTGAATCATAATGCACCCCTAGAAAAATATTATTACTACTGACCCCATATGTCTCCTTGGTAATTAAGTGGTGTGTACTCTTCCACAAAATCTCTTTCCTTCTGAAATTCTTCAACAAGATCCTAACCAAAAGGAATAACTTCTGGTTATTTGTATTTCTAGGAAGGCCAAGTCATTCTTGTACTGGCTAAATTAAAAAAAAAGTTAGGTCATCTTTGAGCAGGGCCTCATTAACCCTTTAACTCCCAGAAGTG